CCCCAAAACCCCAAAACCCCAAAACCCCAAAACCCCAAAACCCCTTCAGGAACCCTTAAATAGAATAATTTAAATATTTTTGTGCAATTTACAAAATGGCTTCATTAGAAGGAATCCAATCAAAGACTCAAGAGATTAGAGATCTTACCAGAATGGAAAGGACCGGTGCCCAGTCCCATATCAGAGGACTTGGTCTCGACGACTCCTTAGAGCCAAGGAAGATTTCTCAAGGAATGGTCGGCCAAATCGAAGCTAGAAGAGCAGCAGGTATCATCATGAAAATGATAACACAAGGAAAAATAGCAGGTAGAGCTATTCTTATTGGTGGGCAACCTGGTACTGGTAAAACCGCCATCGCTCTTGGTATGGCTAAGTCCCTTGGAGAAGATGTTCCTTTCACAATGCTGGCTGGATCTGAAATCTTCTCACTTGAAATGTCAAAAACTGAGGCACTTATTCAAGCCTTCCGTAAATCCATCGGAGTAAGAATCAGAGAAGAAGCTGAAATCATTGAAGGAGAAGTCCTAGAGATTGAGATCGATAAGTCAGTCCAAAGTGGCGCCAAATCTGGAAAAATCACTCTCAAAACGACTGATATGGAAGCTATCTACGATTTGGGACAAAAGATGATCGAGTCAATTCAAAAAGAGAAAATTCAAGCAGGAGATATTATCACCATTGATAAAGCATCTGGAAAGATTTCTAAGCTCGGAAGGTCTATTGCAAGGAGTGGAGACTATGATACTGTTGGTTCCTCCTCAAGATTTGTCCAATGTCCTGAGGGTGAACTTCACAAAAGAAAAGAAGTTGTACATACAGTCACTCTTCATGAAGTTGATGTAATCAACTCAAGAACACAAGGATTCATGGCTCTCTTTGCAGGAGATATTGGAGAAATCAAACAAGAGGTCAGAGACCAGATCGACACTAAAGTATCTGAATGGAGGGAAGAAGGCAGAGCAGAAATAGTCCCAGGAGTGTTGTTCATTGATGAGGTCCATATGCTCGATATTGAATGTTTCTCATATCTGAACAGAGCACTGGAAAGTGAATCCGCTCCAATCGTAATCATGGCTACCAACAGAGGAATGACTAAGATCAGAGGAACTAACTATATGGCTCCACATGGTATCCCATTAGATCTCTTGGATAGACTCTTGATTATCCAAACAACTCCATACAATGAAAAAGAGACACAACAAATTCTACAAATCAGGTGTCAAGAAGAGGATGTTGAAATCAGTGATAAAGCTCTTAAACTGCTCACAAAGATTGGAATGGAGACTTCTCTCCGTTACTCTATCCATCTTATCACAACCGCTAACTTGGTTGCAATCAAGAGAAAGAGTCCTGAGGTTGATGTTGAAGATGTAAGAAGAGTCTATGGACTCTTTATCGATATCAAAAGAAGCTCAAAGTTCCTCCAAGATTATCAGAGCGAGTTCCTCTTCTATGAAGCTGATGAAAGCACAGACAAAGATGTTGAGATGGCCTAGGTACAAACTCCATAAAATTTGAAATGTAGTGGGCTAATCCGGATCTATATTCAATAATTTCAAATTATTAAGGGGTTTTGGGGTTTTGGGGTTTTGGGGTTTTGGGGTTTTGGGG